TTTGGTGTCCTCTCGGCTTCCCTGCCTGTGTCTTCCCCTGGCTATGCTGCTGCTGCTGCTGCTAATGGCTAGCTCATGGTTCAGGCTATTTGACACTAGCTCTCTGCACCTGCACTGCTGACTATCCAGGGAGAACGGGAGAGCTGACTGAGCTGTTTTGGGATCTGGCAGCAGAAAAATGAGTATAGGAGACAAAATAAGCTTCTTCTCTGGGCTTGGGTCTTCTCCTAGGGACTTTTCCCTCCCCTCCCCACAAGTGGCTGGGCCAATCCACCAAGGGAGCACAGCTCTAAGCAGCAGTGCTATGCCCACTTGTGACTGACAGTACTACCAGTTCACCCCAGTCCCCATATCACTAGGGGGCTCTCACCATTACACATTGAAAGACAGCTTGGGCACAGGTCTACGGACCCCACTGGCTAGTCTAGTGATCCCAGTTCCCCCCAGACCAGATTCAGATGACATACGTACCCTCTGCTGTTGCAGACTTGGAGGAGAGTTCTCGCAGTTTGTTAATGGTGAGCAGTCGAATTTCTCTCATAGTCATGACGATATCGTAGTCCCTCTCCAGGGTCTGCCGCACCTCTACTCCCATCAGGGAGTCCAAGCCCAGGTCTGCCAGAGAGCTCTCAGCATTCAGACTGCTCACGTCACGGACACCTGATGTGTGAAAGACAGACAGATGCCCTACTACCCTTTGGACTGTTCCTGCTACTCACCATGTTTGTTATGGCACGGCTGGGCAGCAAGGCCAAGCAAGTGTTGTGCTAGGCACTGTACAAGAAGAGCAGCAGTTGACCTCTCCTCCAAAGAGCTTATCCTCTAAATAGGCAAGACAGGAGAGAAGGGCTATAACACCCCAGCAGAGGATAATGCTGGTGCCATGATTTGTAATTCTCACTATTTGTAGGCTTATTTCAGAAGAGAAGAGATCAGAGTGGGAAGAAAAGGGAGAGGGTGAGGGGCAGGTGTAGAACAAAGCTGAGATGAAGACATGGGGGAGGGATGGCACAAACAGCCATTCAGCACAAAGCAGAAAAAAGTTCAGTCAAAACTGTAGAAAGTTTTATGAACATCTTAAGGCCCCAAGAATCTTGTTCCAGCTGCTTTGCCCCTTCACCATCTTGGAACAATTTCTCTTCTTCAGCACCTGCCAGGGCTCCATCTGTACCATAAGCTACTCCCTCAAACCTCTTTCTGAGCAGCACCATGCACTTCCTGAGGTTCACTCATCATTACCTCTGGGCAAACTTCTCTCAAAAGTACATCGCTCTTTTGTCTAAGTTCTCCTGCATTCCTGGATAGTCACCAAAAATACCGACTAGAAGGTGGTAGCGTTTATTAATGGCATCACCCACGCTATGCTAAGTTCCAAAAGAGGTACCTCAGGTAAAACAAGTTGATTTGAATTAAACAATGGACAACAGAGCCAAATCTAAAGAGGCTTGATGCTAATTTTACAGATCACCAGAGAAACTCAAGTATTGATTAGAGGAGCCAACTTGTCAGCATGTTGGCACCCTAATCATTGCAGATACAACTCCCTGGTTTCCCCAAGTCACCCCCTCACTGGTGTTCTACAACTTTCACAAAGTCCCCTCCAGTTCACCCTGTACAGAGAGACCCTGGACTCAGCCTTTGGACGAGCTGTCAGTTTGCACAATAGCGCAGGCCACCGTAGCTAGATCAGTTCTAGCCAAACAGCATCCAGAGTTAAACATTTTGTTCCTGGCAAGCTCACAGCCAGAGCCCAACTTCGAGCTCATCTAATTTAAGATAATAGCCTAGACCCAGCATAATCTGGGTTCAGGTTCGGACATGGGACTGAAACCACTGTCGCTGTGGCACTGATGGGCACAGTTCCGCTGTCAATGGCTAGAGGGCAGACACTCACTCTCCTGAACCCTTTTTACTGTTTACACCGCTGAGCATTCAGAGTCCAAGACCAGAACCATTGGATCATCTAGTCTGACCTAGCACAGGCCACACAACTCCCTAAACAATTCCTAGAGCAGATCTTTAGAAACACATCCAAACTTAACTTTTCAATCAGCAGCAATGGAGGCTACAGCCCTTGGTAGGTTCTAATGGTTAGTCTCACTGTTGGAAATGTACACCTTATTTCCAGGCTGAAAAGGACTTTGCTTCAACTTCCAGACAATAGATTGTTACAGTTTGAGCCCATTATTAAAAATATCTCCCCACTGTGTAGATACTTACAGACCAACCAAGTCATCCCTTAACTGTCTCTCTGGTAAACCATATACATTAAGCTCTTTGAATCTATCACTATAAGGCATGTTTTCTAATCCTTTAATTATTCTTAAGGCTCTTCTCTGAACTCTCTGCAATTTATCAACATTCCTCCTGAACTGTGGGCACCACATTCCAACAGTGGTTGCACCAGTGCCAAATACAGAGGTCAAATAATCTTCCTACTCGTACTCAAAATTCTGACGTACACACCTGAGGATCACATTAGCTCTTTTAGCCACAGCATGATGCAGGAAGCTCACCTTTAGCTGCCTATTCACCATGACTCCCATATCTTTTTCAGAGTCACGGCTTCTCAGGATAAGTTCTCCATCCTGCACATATGGGTCTACAATTTTGTTCTGAGATGCATACACGTAGCCATATTAAACCAAGTTGGTTAGCACACATTGGGACTTCAAATACCAGTTCTCTTTCCAGTTCTATTCAATGCATGCATGCAACCACTAAGTAAACTTGCCAGACAGCACAGACACACATGCCAGGAACATGCACATAGCTACAGCTCTCTTCTTACCCTTCACCACACACAACAAACAGTATCAGCTTGAATAAAAACAGCAGTTTGAACAGGAATCCAAGCAAATCAAGGGGAAAACTCCGAAGACTTCAGCCACCATCTTTTGGTTAAAGGCGGACACCACAAGTTGTTCAATTTAGCCTGTGGTGCTCCTGCAATCCTAACAGGTGCTACAGTCTCACATAGCAACATCCATAAGTAACATTTCTACCCCTCCAGTTGGCTAGTACCACTATCATCTCCACCTCCTTCAAATCCTGCTTAACTATGACCTTGGTGTCCTCTTCCGCTTGTGCATCTGGATCCTTGCTAATTCCTCCCACATATGCCTCTGTTGTTCCCAACTACTCAAATTGGTCTGCTCTCCTTTCTCTTTGGATTCACTAACTCAGCTCCATGAGCCTTCCTTTCAGTCTGCCAAAGAGATCTTCCTCTTCAGTCACGTTCCCTCTCCCTTGTATTTTTGCATTTGCTCCTCCTCTGCATTCACCACCTCACTTTTAAGGGTTTTCATAACCTGCCCATATCACTGACCTGATTTCCACACAATCCTGCTCCCTTGTGTTCTACCCACACTTGTCAGCTGCTGCTTCTGTTGTCTTCATGCACTCCCAACCCAATGCCTTCTTGCACAACTCCTCCCACATGACCTAGTACGGCTTTCCAGGCACCTGTCAGACATACCCACCATACCACTCCTAAAACCAAACAAACATCTGTTCCAGGAGCATCTATCTGTTCCAAGATACTGTTGCCTGTATCTTGATAGTGTGAAGTCTTGGGATCTGAGGTCTAGCCTTCAATTTGTGTGGTTTTTTCTTATTGTGAAGTTTCTGTGCACATTCACAATGTTCCAAAACCAAACAGTGATACAAGCAGCACTCCTACAGCTCTGTAGGTAAGAGATGCTTACAGAGAGTGTCAATAGAAACTCCTGGACCAGAGCAGGCTGCACACCTGCGCTTAGTTCCCTTCTGACAGTGGCTGGCATCAATTCTTCCTACAGCAGAGTAAGACATGGCTTCTAGAATTCAGATCATGTTTGTAATTATTAATGATCTAATTTACCGAGAATGTGGGCAACAGCCTCTACTAGGTCCCGCTGGCCGCTTCCTTCATTCCTCACTGAGACCTTCTCTGCCAGAACAAAGCTAGACATGACAGGACGAGGCTGATTCAGGAAGCGGTCCAGAACCTCCAGGCATGAGCTGAGTCGCTGGGGAAGAGTTCCACCAACCACAGTGTCGTTACTGCCCATTGTCTCCAAGACAACACCCACATCACCAATGGCGCCCCACTGCACAGCCAAGCCTGCAAAAGAAAGCAGAAGAGAGAACACATATTAAACGACTAACTGGAGCACATGGCAGCAGGTGTCCTCATTCACCTGAAGATCTGGACAGAGGGTCAGAATCTGGCAGGAATATGGGCAAATATAGAAGGGAAAAATCTAACCGACACCACCGAAGTCTCAGAGGGGTAGTTGTGCTAGTCTGTAACTTTAAACACAAACAAGTAGTCTTAAAAAATGTGTGTTGTATCATGAACTTTCAAGGGCAAAACCCACTTCACAGGACTCAAGATCATCTCATCTGAAGTGGGTTTTGCCTAAGAAAGCTCATGATACCTCTGTGGTGGTGTATGGGGAATATTAAAAAACAAACTAATAATTCCAGTTGTTCCCTTGTCTATGAAATAAATACATTTTCATGGCAGTTGAAATAGAAGTGGGACGGAGATCTGCTGAAAGCCTCTGGGTAAGGATAAAAAGGAACGGTGATGTCATGGTAAGGGTCTATTATAGAATGCCTAACCAGGAAGAAGAGGAGGTGGATGAGGCGGTTTAAAAACAAACAAACAAACAAACAAACAAACAAACAAACAAACAAACAAACAATAGTCTAAAGCACAGGACCCGGCCTGGGGACTTCAGCTATTAAGTTATCTGTCGGGAAAATGATATTGTCCAACAAATTCTTGGAATTCATTGGAGACTTTTTTATTGCTGAAGGGAGAAGAGGCACTTCTAGAGTTGATTTTGACAAACAGGGAGGTACTGGTTTATAATTTGAAGGTGGAAGGCAGCTTGAGTGAAAGTGATCATGAACATTTATTTCATGATTCGAAAGAATAGAAAGGGGGGAGGAGGAGAATCGGAGTAAAGACAAAGTCAAGAAGGGAGATTTTAGCATCCTCCGAGAACTAGTAGATAAGATCGGATTGAAAGCAAGTCTAAGGGAAAAAGTTCAGGACAGTTGGCAGTTTTCAAAGAGCTATTACTGAGAATACAAGAGCAAAACTATACCAATGCACAGGAAAAACAGGAAGTAGGATACGAAACAATCCTGGCTTAAATTGGAGCTCTTCAACGATGTACAACTCAAGTAAGTTATACAAGAAGTGGAAGCTAGATCAAATTATGATGAAGATAAAAAACTTCCCCAAAACCACGCACAAAAACCCAAGAAACCAGTCAGTCAGAAAGACGAGGGCACAAACAGATTAAATTAGCTACAGACATATTTTACCAATACATTAGAAACATGAGGGAGATGAAGGACAAAATGATCTGGATGAACTAGAGAAATGGTCTGAAGTAAACACTGTGAAATTCAGTAAGGATAAATGCAGAGTACTGACTGCACAGGAGGTAATGCAGAAAGATCTGGGGGTCATAGTTTACCCTAAGCTAAATACGAGTCAGTGTAACACTGATGCAAAAAAAGGCATCAGTTTGGGATATATTAGTCAGAGTATCAAATAAGACACAAGTAGTAATTCTTCTGCGCTACTCTCGACGGATTAGACCTCAACTAGAGTATTATGCCCAGTTCTGCGTGCCACACTTCAGGAAAGATGTGGACAAATTGGAGGTCCAGAGAAGAGCAACACAAATGATTATAGGCCTAGACATGACCTAAAAAGGAAAGATTGAAAGAACTGGGTTTGTTAGTTGTCTTTTCTAGGCTAATCTCAATATCTAAAAGGTTGTGAACGAGGAGGAGGGAGAATATTTTTCTCCTTAACCTCCAAGGACAGTACTAGAAGCAGTGGGCTTAAATTGCAACAAGGGAGGTTTAGGTTGGACATAAGGAAAAAGCTTCCTACCTGTCAGGCTGGTTAAACGCTGGAATAAATTGCCTAGGAGGTTACAAATATCTCCAATGATGGAGATTCTAAGAGCAGGCCAGACAAAACACCTGCCAGGGACGGTCCAGAAAATACACAATCCTGCCATGAGTGCAGGGGACAGGGCTAGATGACCTTTTAAGGTGCTTTCTACTCCTATGATTCTATGACAGGGTAGGTCCATTCCTTAGTGAGAAATGAAAAAGAAAAAAAAATGCAGCTATGCCTCGAGTATTAAGGAATCCGTTTTCATCAAAAAAGGTTAGCAGTGATCAGACTGCTAACACAGGGAATATCAGTGTAAATGGGATAGGATCGGA